ACACACACACACACACATATATATATATATATATATATATATATTATATATATATATATATATTGCACTTGAAAACTTACTTAGAGTTGCGGGATAGTCGGTGGAGATGTACTGGGCACCCGAAGTGCTCTGACCTTGACCAATTGCTGCATCACGCTGAGTTGTCTCACCCGAACGTGCCTCTATAGAACGTAGTCGTATAATAAATATATATGAAATCGAAGTGGTAATGTTAGCAATAGCACTTGAGAACGAGTGCGATATACGGATGAAGGAAAAAATTGAGTGGATTCAGTTCTCCCAAGTCGACGATACGTTCTCGACGTCATGGTGGAGCGGTTGAAAGATAATAATGAGAATTAAAGCAGAGAAAGCACTGAAGGTTGGCACAGCAATACCACCTACTTCGGACTTTAAAATTGGGTTGGTGCGTACCGTGCACCCACCGACCATATGACCGCGTATATCGTATCCGGCTGTTTGTGGTCTCACCATATATTTGTTTAGCACTACCGGTATATGCAGCTTTTTTATGTACACAGAATCTCGGAGACACCACACTCGCTTTCATTGATACTAGAACAAATACTTAACATACCATTAACACTACACTAACACCCACTTACCTATGGTGATAGCATCTGTCCTGGTGCGCACCATGTACCCATCGGCCACTAGACTACTAATGTCATTGCCAGCTGACTGTGGCTGCAGCACTTGGTTGCGAAGTACAAATGCACAGTCACCACTCGAAGGTTCGCTGAATACGAACATGAGTTTGTCTTGGAGTGTTGCGTCGCCGTTGGCGTATCTCGTGTTGATTCCACCGGGGCCTTGGAGTGTGAAGATCACTTTGCCACGACTGTGGAGGTAAGGACTAGTTTAGTATCTTGTTAGCTTTGCAGCCAACGTATGCGACCCTTTGCGTGACAGTGGCTATACGCAAAAGCAGAGTACAGTCGTACGATATCATGTGTGACATATTACTTTGTATAGAGGAAATCCACGTCGGACGCCGCGTGTGTCACATAAACTGTGAGGCTAATGCTTCGCGCCCGGTGCTCTGTCGTCAAATCACTACATACTTCTGGGCGAGTAATTATTTATAATGTAATATACACGTGTAGTAGGAAGCTTGTGTATAATAATAAAAGCTATATGCGTCTTGTATATAGACACGCACACAATACAGATTTCGGGAACAATGTGAGTTGTACAACCACCGTTTCGCTCAGTAAACATACGTTTGGGCAAGTGTTGGCCAACCAACAGTAGTGACTGTGGTTCGCAAGTCCGTTTGATTTCCCAGGGCCATGATGTGGTTGGGCATGATGATATCACTCGCGTTTAACGCGTTATTGTCTACAGTGAAAACACTTCTAATCTCAGCTTCCAACTCTGTCAAGTCGGCTTGCACGGGCGTAGTGAATCCGAGTGCTAAGGGATCGATAATCGGATCTTCCGACACCTATTTCGATGGATACGAAGTGGTTTTGTACATTCTTATCTTCCGGACGCAAACTCTATTCGGAAGTAATCTTGAGTTTCAATATGATGTGTATGCTTTAAACTTTTGCTTCTCCAGGGTTGGTTAAGTGCAGGCTTGTCCGTTCGGGGGACAGGAGTGTAGTAAGGGACACAAACGCACGGCTGCAATTATTAAAACGCTACCTGGATCGAAATCATCATTGGTACATGGTGGGAGTTTGCTGTAGACCAAGCCTTGATTTCCGTTAGGCACTCCACCAATGTGAGGCAGACTGAGAGGGGATCAATATCCTGAGGGTAGTGCCAAAAATAGTCAGATAAAACTCACGTTCAAAAATTAAAGCTTAAGTTGAAAATAGCGAGGTGTTGCTATGAGTATTGGGAATATGACTGCCCTAAATCTCCAGCCCACCGGAAGTTTTGTAGATTCTTTTATGTAGATTTGATTCTGTTTCATACTTGCGACATCGAGGTTGGTGAGAAGCAACGAAATTAATATCCATATTGAATTAGAAATTTGACATGTATGTCTACAACACTTACCTGAATATGCAACACTTTGTATCCGGGTTGATCCAGGCCAGGCTGTGCCGTGTCTCTGTTCAGCATTTTCAGAGCGGCATAGTCGCGAAATAGGCCACCGGCGGGATCAGCGAACACATCCAATTCAAAATGTCGGACATTCTGCGTGTCCATTTGCTGTGTGAGACTGACATGTGTGTAATCCAAACCTGGGGCTGAAGTTTGCACTCCCGCAATACTTTCCATCTCTGACATAAGAATCTGTGAATCGAACAAGACGTTGGATAAGATAGGAAATATGATGAAGATGAAGTCGAAGCATACTTTTTATACA